TTGTAGTAAAATAATGATGTGAAAATAGACAAAGTTCAGAGGTCAAGATCCCACAGATGGAAAGTTGTAGAGTTGTTTTTGAACTGGAATCTTTCTTAACCAGGAACTTATACCCTTAAACACTATCCAATAACACTTGCCAAATGTTAAACTTCATTTCCATGATTTTTTAGAGGACATAGTTTTCTGATTTAATTTTCTCCCTCTGATAATATCATAATTTTAATTTTATTTTTATACATCCTCATAAAACTACTACAGAAAAAATAAATTTGAACATTTGATTCTGCACATGCCCAGAAAAGCCTTGGCTTTGCTTTAGCTATAGGTGTCTCACATTTTTTATGTCTTCTTTATAGTAGTCATTTTGAAATATTTTCTGGTTTCATTTTTTTCTTCATCAGTTCAACTACAGATTATCCTGTACCACAAGTCTATAATAAATCTGACAATGCTGATTTTATTGAAATTTCATTTTAAAATATTTCTGAACCCAATAATACATTGCTCACATAAAAACACATTTTAAAAATTTCTTTTAAAAAGTCAATCAATTATTTATTGTTCCTCTAATAGACATAAAATAGACAACAGATTTTAACTTTGGAAAAATAGGAGATTTGCAAATTTTAGTGATTCCTTCATTCAGAACATATTTACTAAGCGTCATTCCCTATGCAAGACACCAGATATAAAACCAAGTGTGGACCTTTCCCCAGTAGATCTTTCGATGCTGTGGGAGAAAAGGGTATCACGTAACTAAATAAATACAAATTATGACTATGGTTAGTCTACACAGGGGAGTTCTATGATATTGTAAGAGTATATATCACAGGGACTTGACACAGTCTGGAAGGTCATTCCTTCTCCTTTCTTCCACCCTTGAGTCACCATAATTTAATATTAGCACAGCAGCCAAAGTGATCCCTTTAAAACTGAAATCAAATCATGTCACTTCTTTGCTCATTGGCTCTCTATTTCCCTTAGAATAAAAGCAAAGCCTTTTACCATAGCTGAAGAACCCCTTTGTGATCTTTTAATCGTCGTTTCCCAACATTATCCTTACTACTGCTCCTGAACTCACTCTGCACTGGCCTCACTGGCCTCCTGCTGACATGCTGGGCTTGTTCCTCCCCAAGGGCCTTTGTAGTAGCCTGGAATATTATCACCCAGATAGCTACACAGCCCTTCATCTTTAAGTCTGTGTTCTCGGGACAACTTCTGAGTGAGATCTGCCCTAATTATTCTAAGCAAATATTCTAAGCATTCTGGCATATCCTAGCCCCTTTTCATTATTTATTTCCCTCTATAGATTTGCCACATTAAAGAATTTGCATGATCATTATATTTATTGTGTATCTTCTACTGCTAGATACAGCTCTTAGAAGAGGACTGCTGTATCTCCAGTGCTTAGCGTGGTTAGCACGTATTAGGCATTCAACAAATATTTGTTGAACAAACAGATAAATGACTGTTCTAAGAAAGTAATGATTGAATTGAGATCTCATGGTAAAGAATTTAACAATTAAACATTTTAAAGAAAATAGTCAGAACTCAAAATAATAAAGATGTGTGAAAGGCCATACATTTACTTCATTTGGAGTTAAAATATTCATGAAATACAGTTTGTCCTCCTCCTCTTGTGTGAGAAAAGGAATCAGGCATGAGATGAGCAATGCTGTGGTTGATTTCCCAACTTTCTCACTTTGTTGTCTCCTGCCTCAGCCATGCTACTCCAACATGTTAACAACACTTTAGAATTGTTTCTGCGTATCCATTGACTACACAAATCTCCTTGTCTCTTTCTCAGGGGAAAAAAAAATGAAAGGGCATTCTTCTTAGGTAAAGAAGCAAAGTCACAAATTTAGCAATTATGTAAGCGGTACTACATGAAATACGTTTCAATAAAAATATCAGACTGATGCAATTAATTTCATTATCAATGGCTATACGGTTAACTAATTCTGACACGGAAGAGTTTTAATTTGTGTTTAATTGATTTAATGCTGAAGCAGATCATCCAACGTCTCACAGCTAAACTCCTGTAACACGCAAGGTTCAGTCTCATCATGCATCATAAATTTCAGGATAAAGGAAGCATGTGCATGTACGTACACACAAGCACACATACAGAGTCAAACTCCATGAGCAGTTGGAAAACGGCCTACCTAATGCCACTCTTGCAGCTGAAGCATCGTAATTAATCCAGAAGGAGACCCAGGAGAGGATGGTAATCAGGATGGAAGGCATGTACGTTTGCAGGATAAAGTAGCCAATATTTCTTTTAAGCTTAAAGCTGAGGGACAACCTGGGATAGGAACCTAGGAAGGCAATTTTAGAACATTGTTATTATTAATCAATATTTATAGGATACCTTTCTTTAAAGGTCCATAA